ATGACTAATCTTTTTAAGACTAGTATTTAAAAAAAAATATAAAAAAAGTCATGCCAAAGCCGCCTCCAGCAGACATTCGTTGACAAATATTACCGTATGAATTTAGAGTCCAGATCATCTGACATACTTTCCTGCAATGGCTCCTGCGGTGGTCTCCAAAACGACGTCGTTTCATTTACTGATTTTTTTTTTTTTTTTTTTAATTTCAAAATGTTCATCCCCCCTTCTCTCTTCTCTGTATTATCTCTTTGCACCATCGATCTGAGGTAATGAACCCTAGCACAGAGAGAGAGAGAGAGGCATCGCGAGAGGCAGGTGAGGAACTGAGAGAGTGACGGAGAAAACGAACGCGAACGGAGAGACGAAAGAGATGGCGGAGATGGCGAAGTAACGCGATGGCGAACTGAGACAAAATTGGGAAAACATTTTGATGAGGGGTGAGTACATCACTTAAATTCTGGTGCAGAATGTTTTGTTGTGGAAACATTCTGGTGCTTTTTCTTTTCCAAGTGAGAAGGAAGGGTGAGTACATCACTTAAATTGATGATTAAATTCTGGTGCAAAATGTTTGTTGTGGAAACATTCTCATCTCATTTTCTTTTCCAAGTGAGAAGGAAGGTGAGTACATCACTTAAATTAATGAAACAAAAAAAAAAAATTGAAAAAAAATTCAACTGAACAACAAACAACAAATCTGGTTCCACAAATCAAATCATATATATATATATATATATAAAATGAGAATGAAGACCAGACCTCTCCAGACCTCGTTGCCGTCGCCTCCCCCTCTCTGTCTGTCTCCTGCCACTCCTCTCGCCTCACCGCTGCCTCTCCTCTCCTCGCCTCCGTCGCCTCGCTGTAGAGTCACGTCGGCCTCTCCCCGTTCATCGCCTCTGTTCATCTCATGAGAGCGGGGCTAGGGTTGAAAGACCACACAAAACAAAAGGAGGCTGAAAAAAAAAAAAAAAAAAAGGTTCAAAACGACACCGCAGGGGCCACTGCAGGAAATGTATGGTAGTCTTTTAATTGCTTTTACCAATGTTCTCATTTATCAGTTGATTGTCAAAGATACTTGGCATTCGTCTGAGGGTTGAAAGGGCTTCATGAAACCAATTCATAGATGTGAATCAATGGTGCAATACCATGGTAACGCCAAACCCCTGTAATATAGAACCATGCTTAGACCAAGAAGAGGAGGCTAATAATGAAAAGAAAAGAAGCTCCAGCAATAAAAAACTTAACCCGCATGGATAGGGTCCGGTATGAAGTCCAATGCCAAGGATGCTTGGATTCATGAATGTCAATTTGCTATAAATACATGGTCGGATAGTCCATATCACTCATACTATAAGGCTAGTATATACTAAACACTTTAATTCTATCTTTTTGTGTGTGCAGCGAAGTGTAGATGCCGTTTTTGTTAATCAGGTGCTGAATGAGGCAAGCTGCAGGTTCAAAAATTAAGAAAAATGTTTGAAAGCTAATTAAATTTATTATGGTCATAATGGCTTAAAATTATCAAACTACTGATAGCGCTTTCTGGGGTGACAAAAACATGTCAAACGTACGTATCGTTTAATTGAGCAGTTATTTAAAGGCCGTGTATTAGAATTCCAATCCCTTTGAGCTTCTCTACCAAAGTTGGTATACACCTCAATAGCGATTTATGTAAAAAGCTATATCTTCGCTTTTCAGAGATGAACATCTATTTTGTAGTGCTCAAATTAAGATGGATCCCTTATAATCGATCTCCAACAATGTGGTTGTCGCTTTTCAAAATTTCTCTTGGATAAGGAATAATTTATATACAAGAAACCAAATTATTGGATTCACTTGGGTAGTGTCTTTTCTAAAAACAATAATATTATGGCACAAACTAATTCATTTCTAAATAATAATCATTCTGCTTAATACACTCTCACCTTACATCATGTTTCTTGATGTTATAAATCAATTACAATGGTTGATTGTAACTCTAAAATCCCATGTAAGCATTAAAACCTTTACGCACCTTTCATGGTATATTAATGCTATTTTATACTTATAAGCTTATCTTACCTTTTAACCCAAACATCATTTTCTCTTTGAAAAAAATTGGAATGAATTCCAATACACACCCTGCACAATGGATTCATGTCACATTAGAAAATAGGTCCTATTTTGAGGAACTCAAACTCTCAATTACTTTTCTCAAATTAAAAATGGACACAGCTATATGAAAACCTCCAAATCCAAAAAAGTTAGAATCCAATTCTGAGTGTCATAAAGTTTGAATGATATGATATAAGATAAGCTCGGCTAAACAGGATGAGGTAAAAACGTGAAAATAATTCATTGCAAAATCCTTTATCAAAATGCAGTGACCCCTATCCGAAGCATTTCATTTAACCAATTAAATCGAACAACATGGGTTTTGATCTATAAATAGTACGGCGATCCATCTATCCACTAGTTTCTTTATTCCCGGAATATATGGTTTTTTTTGCATCCCTTACAATTTAGGTAAAAAGATAAAATAAATTAAAAAATTAATAAGATAAAATATTATATCTAATTTTTAATTATTTTAATTTTTTATTATAAAATTTTAAAAAATAAAAAGAATTCATTTCAAATAATTTTTTTTAATCCAAATTAAAATAATCAAAAAGTCGAAAAAAAGAAAAGAAAAAGATAACCTCGAAAAAGGCTTAGGAAATGAGAAATTGTTTTGGAATCTTCTATCCTCGATCGGTAGGGACCATGTTCCTCCATTGATGTCTATTACTCGGAAAACCCTAATATGACTTCGGATCTTGGCATTGGGTTTTAGCATTGACTCGCCAACAACCTCACATAACTTGCTCAAACTCTCTGCAAATATGGCACAGTCTCTCTGTTTCTATTCAAATACTCGACTGCACATCTGCATCAAAGGTAACTTCCAATCTTTGACTTCTCTTTGCAAACTTTGTTATTTATATGATCTGAATTTACTGTCTTTTTCATTTTATAATGATTGGCGATGACTCTTCTGCTGCTGCAAGCTTGACTGCGATTAAAAATGAGTTAATGAATCAAAGAAAACAAAGATTTACTTCCTTGGTTGAGATATTATGCTAGTGAGGAAATGGATACAAAAAAATGTTGGTTGTCTCAAAATTTTCATGGTTATTTGTGTTCAAATTGGTTAACTTAAAGATAGTCATTGAATCTTTAATTTCTTTTTGAAAACTCTGTTGTTTCTATGTGCTTCACTGTTCTTTAAAAAAAAAATTAATAATCTGAATTTAGTGTCTTTGTCAGCGATTAAAAATGAGTAAATGCACTTACAGAAATTAAGGGTTTACTTTATTGGTTGAGATGTTGTACTAGTGAGAAAATGCTTACAAAAAATTGTTGGTTCTATCTAAAATTTGATGGTAATCCGTGTTTAAATTGGTTAGCTTAAAAGATAGTCAATGAACATGAAAGGATTAACTTCCAATCTTTGATTTCTCTTTGAAAACTCTGTTAATTTCTACGCTTTTAACTGTTCTTTAAAGAATCTTTCTTTCTTTTATTTATTTATTATTATTATTATTTTTAATCAGCAACAAAAAGATTTCATTGAAAATGAAAATGAATTTACAAAGTCGAGGGTTCTTTAAAGAATCTGAATTTAGTGTCTAGTTCATTTTGTAATTATTGGTGATTATGATTCTTCTGCAAGCGTGACTGCAAGTTGAAATGAGTAAATGCACTGAAAGAAAACAAGGGTTTTACTCTTTGGAGAAATTACAATCCAGTTGATATTTTAAAAAATAATTATAAATTTTATAAATATTAATAATTATAATTATAATTTTTTTTTTATAATTTTGTTATATATTATACCTGTTACCACTGAAAAGTAATATCCCCTTTACTCTTCTGGCTGAGATAGTACACTAGTGAGGAAAATGTGGACCAAGGGATTGTGGTGCTCCAGTGGGGGCTTTGCCCAAGTCCTTTCGATAATCTGAACCGTTCATATTGTAAGATTTGTTTAGTAGATCGTCCATGCAAAAAATCAATTGATTGGGCATCTATAGCTTCGTAACAAGAGCACATTTATTACCAGGATATTGATAATTTTTTGAAAAGAATTAGAAACTGATCATGGGGTTACAGATTTTCAATTAACTTGATTTTTTGCATGAAAAAACTCCACCAGTGCACCACAGCACCCTGCTGTAAGGTCACAGCAGGATTCCTGAATCAGAAAATGCATACAAAAATTTGTTGATTGTGTAAAAAATTTCATGGTCATTTGTGTTCAGATGGGTTAACTTAAAGATACTCAATAAACATGAAAGGAAGAGTTAAGGTTGTGTTTGGATTTATTGATTTAAAATAAAATGATTTGGTACTATTCATTCAAGGAGAATAGCTCAAATTTAGATTTGATAATTTGAAAATGAAATTTAGGATTGAATTTGAGAGTGTTGTCATAATGAATTTGAAATGACAATATAAAATCAATTATTTGAAATCCTTCATGATAACTGTTCTAATTCTACAAGGGTCCAAGTAAAATACTTCTCTTCTATCTCTAATTTATCTCCCTTTAGCTTCTCAATTAACAGATAAATAACTGCTTAATCTCCTATAATTTTTTAATAAAATTCAAGCCTAAAATACCTTCAGTTGAAATCCATCCATCCAAACAGAGCCTAAAGGTTACATTCTAATAATTGAGAAATTTTCTGAAAAGTGAAAGGTCTTTTTAGTTCACTGCTTGATCACCATCTCTCAGTATATCATCTTGAAGCAGTACTGGATTTCCTCAGTTATCATACTAGTATTTCTCTGGTTATATATAGAATTGTACTACCTTTAGCATCTTCAGGTAAGGAGCAACAGCTTGGGTGTTTTACATTGACAAAACCAATCCACCTGAAGGTTTCATCAGGCTGTAGAGCACGAGCAAGAGCATCAGCATCTCACGGTGCTGGCTCTAGTGCAATTCAAATTCCTCATCAGTGGTACAATTTAATAGCAGATCTTCCTGTTAAACCCCCTCCACCTTTGCATCCAAAGACATTTGAGCCAGTCAAACCTGAGGATTTGTCTCCTCTCTTTCCTGATGAGTTGATTAAGCAGGAGGCAAGTAATGACCAGTTCATTGATATCCCAGAAGAGGTTCTTGATGTTTACAGGCTTTGGCGCCCGACCCCACTGATAAGGTTTGTTATGCTTTCTTTTTGTGTCTTATTATTATCTTGTACTGTGGTTGGAAGAATTTTATAGTTGTCGGTCAAATGTAGAGCCAAGAGACTGGAGAAGCTGCTCAATACACCTGCTAGGATCTATTACAAGTACGAAGGTGTAAGCCCAGCTGGATCACACAAACCCAACACAGCAGTTCCACAGGTCTGGTACAATGCACAAGAAGGTGTCAAGAACATTGTGACAGAAACTGGAGCTGGCCAATGGGGGAGTTCACTGGCCTTTGCATGCAGCCTATTTGGTCTCAACTGTGAAGTAAGAAATGTTTATTAGTACTTGCTGTAAAACTGACAGTGAAATTAGATTTAGTTGGTTCAATTTGCTCCACTATCCCCACGTTTTTTTTGCACACGTTAGTTTGTGTACACTTCTAGTTTAAATTAATGCTAAAGTGATTGACATCCCTTGACCTCTTATTTTGGTTTTAGGTGTGGCAAGTCCGTGCATCTTTTGACCAGAAGCCATACCGTAAACTGATGATGCAAACCTGGGGTGCCAAGGTGCATCCTTCTCCTTCTACTGTTACCGAGTTTGGTCGGAGAATCCTTCAAATGGATCCAGCAAGTCCAGGCAGCTTAGGGATAGCTATTTCAGAAGCTGTGGAGGTTGCAGCTATGAATGCCGATACCAAGTATTGTTTGGGGAGTGTTCTCAACCATGTTTTGTTACATCAGACTGTTATAGGTGAGGAGTGTATTAAGCAGATGGAGGCTATAGGTGAGACTCCAGACGTGATCATTGGGTGTACAGGGGGTGGATCTAATTTTGCAGGGCTTAGTTTTCCATTTATTCGAGAGAAGCTCAAAGGGAAAATTAACCCTCTTATACGAGCAGTTGAACCTGCAGCTTGCCCTTCCCTAACAAAAGGCATCTATGCGTATGATTATGGTGATACAGCGGGGATGACTCCACTTATGAAAATGCATACACTTGGGCATGACTTCATACCGGACCCTATCCATGCGGGTTAAGTTTTTTTTATTGCTGGAGCTTCTTTTTTCTTTTTCATTATTAGCCTCCCTCTTCTTGGTCTAAGCATGTGTTCTATATTACAGGGGGTTTGCGTTACCATGGTATGGCACCATTGATTTCACACGTCTATGAATTGGGTTTCATGGAAGCCCTTTCAATCCCTCAGACTGAATGCTTTCAAGGTATCTGTTTTAGCATATCATTGAACTTGCACTTTGGGGCATATTAAAGATAAGTTTGAAAGAGAACATGCTGTGAAGAAAGGCTAAGATTTTACTTTTCATTGTTGCAGGAGCCATTCAATTTGCAAGGACTGAAGGGTTGATACCTGCACCAGAACCAACTCATGCCATAGCTGCCACCATTAGAGAAGCTCTCCATTGCAGGGAGACTGGGGAGTCTAAAGTTATTCTCATGGCAATGTGTGGACACGGACATTTTGACCTGCCAGCTTATGAGAAGTATTTGCAAGGAAGTATGGTTGATTTGGCTTTTGCAGAGGAGAAGATACAAGCATCGCTAGCCAATATTCCTCAAATTGTGCGTTGAAGTGAAGCCAATTGAATGAGGAACTAGGTAGGATGACTTCGGAATAATGATCTCTGTTAGATGCTTCAATAATATTCTTTTGGTTGATCTATCTGTGATCATGATCTAGGCGTAAAGTCTTGAGTTGAATTATATTAGGGTGTTAGATTTTTTTTGAACAAGGGGATCATTTAACACCGGAGAGAATTCAATTATGTTGTAATGTTGTCTTGATAGAATAAGTTGGGATGCAAGAAGCATCTTCTTGTAGGGTTGATTCCATTTATATTTAGGAAGAAGTGTACGAGTTTCATACCGTCAACAGGATGACCCTCCTTTATGCTAATTTATCTTTCTTATATATATATGGAATTTGATATTGTGTTTGTTGAAGTTCTTTTGAGCTAGTGTTAAGAGTTTTGAGAAATCTGTTTGGTTTTTTCTTTTGCTTGTATATTTTCTTTTTGTTCTCAGTTGCCATTTCTAAAGAACAAGTACTATTCAGTGTTGCAAAGTGAATTCCTTGGTAAAACTCAATTTTCCCTTGAATGTGTTTTAACCCTTAAATTTTTATTTTTTAAAAAAATGATGAAATCAAAAAAATAGAATCGCAGTTAGGCACTATTTGGGAAGCAAACATTGGGGTGAAAATAGCCAACATGGTGAAAATAGCTAATAAACACATACAAACAAAAGTCCATCACAGGGCTTTGCAGGACTATGAAGGCAAGTTGTCAAATGACGCTTTTGCCCCTATGATTCAATATCTGTTGCTTGCATTTTCATGAGAGAGTATTGCCACGTCACCCTCTACTATGCTTGGAAATAACATCATTGTTGTAGGGACATTTTAGTCATTTATCATCCCAACATCATTTTAAACACGTTTTTCAATACAAAAATTTTAAAAAAAGGTCAATCTAAACACAAAAATTAAAATAGCCTAATAAAATAGGTAAATAGTCAAAAGGTAAAAAAAAATAGTCTATTTTCAAACGGAGCCTTAATTAAATTCCATTTTAGCATTTGGTATATTAAAATGATTTTTATAAAGCAATGTAAATCTGAAATAGTTTTTTCAAAACTAAGGAAATCTTATTAGTGGGATTAGAATTTTGTTCTCATTGAATTGAGTTAGAGTAAATTGTTGCATATAAAATACATGTAAACATAAGACTTTTCTTAGGTATGCCTTGTATATGGTACGCAAGGCATTTACACTCTTAGTATTTTGCATTTACACCTTTTATGTATTGCGTTATAGGACATTTTTTGAAAGTTTACACATTGGTGACCTGCTAAACAGGTCGCTTTGCAGGTAAATTAATTAAATAATTTAATATATTAATAATTTCAAATGTGAAAATATTTTCAGAAAAAGGTGTAAACTTAATTTCAAATGTGAAAATATTTTCAGAAAAAAGTGTAAACTTTCAGAAAATGGTGCAACTGTTTTGACGAAAAGGTATAAACTTTCAGAAATAGGTGTAAACTTTCAAAAAATGGTGTAAGTGTTTTGACGAAAAGGAATAAGTTTAGAAATTTTTCAGAAAATGTGTAACGTTTCAGAAAAAGGGTGTAAAATTTAGTTTAGTGTAAATTTTATCGACAAATAACAATTTAGTCGCTAAAGGTTGAAAATCTTATTACCATCGGCCCCACTCTTCTCTGTTTCCCACCGCCTCTTTCTCTGTTCTCTCTCAGACGCACACAGAATAGTCACCACCAATCCTGACCCTCGCTGACCACCCAAGCGTCGGTGGCCTCCGGTGCTTACCGCCGTCTAATATCGCCACCGCCAAAGTGACCACTACAGCCACAGCAATCGCCGCTGCCGCATATCAAAGGTTTTTTTTTTTCTCTTTCTCTCTATCGATCTTGGTCTCTCTCTGTCGATGTCGGTCTCTTCTCCGTTGATGTCGGCCTCTCTCTGTCGATCCCTGTCTATGTCGGTCTGTCTCCAGCGATCTTGGTCTATCTGTGTCGATCTCCGTCTCTTCTCTGTCGATCTCGGTGTGGCTGTCTCTATCGATCACTATCTATCTCGGTCTCTCTGTCTGTCGATCTTAGTCCGTCTCTCTCTCTCTCTCTCTCTCTCTCTGCATCCCTTCCTTTATATTAAAAATGGTTCTCTTTTACATTGACATACTTGGTTGGATTTGGACTTGGAGTCGGTATTCCAAGCCCTCCCAAACTGGTCTTCTCTAAAACGGACTTCCACTGAAAGAAAGACCAAGCCCTTTGAAACGCCGCATCTCTCTTACATTGCCATTATTTGAACAAGACAAATACATTTTGATTGGATTTTAGGAACTTACACGTTTTGTAAAAAAACAGAACTTACATCTTTTGCGAAGTTACTTACATCTCTTGTGAAATCACTTACACTATTTGTGGAAGGTTACACATTTGTGAAATAATTTGTTTTGTAAAATTTACACATTTTCGTTGAAATACTTACACTTTTTGTGAAAAGTTACTACCTTTTGTAAACAATTTTATTAAAAAAATTTACACATTTTATTGGAAGTTACACCTTTTCTGAGAATAGAACTTAAAACTTACATCTTGTGTGAAAAAATTTACACATTCTATGGAAAATATGTTTTCATAAAATTTACACATTTTAGTGGAAATAATTACACATTTTCTAAGAAGTTACTCCGTTTGTGAAACAATTTTTTTTTAGAAAATTTACACATTTAATTAGAACTTACATCTTTTGTGACATAACTTACATCTTTTGTAAAAATATTTACACCTCTTATGGAAAATATTTTTGAATAAAGTTTACACCTTTTGTTAAAAACTTACACCTTTTTTGAAAGTTTACACCAGTGGGGGAAATACTTACACGTTTTCTAAAAAGGTACTTCTTTTGTGAAATTATTTTTTCATAAAATTTACACCATTTATTGGAACTCACACCTTTTCTGAAAACCAAACTAACACCTTTTGTTACATAACTTACATATTTTGTGCAAACATTTACACGTTTTATGAAAAGTTACACCTTGTATGGAGAATATGTTTTCATAAAGTTTACACAATTTGTCAAGAACTTACACCTTTTCTGAAAACAAAACTTACACCATTTGTGACATAACTTACATCTTTTGTGAACCATGTACAAGTTTTTCGAAAATTTACATCTTTCATGGAAAAAATATTTGCATAAAATTTATACCTTTTGTTAAAAACTTAAACCTTTTCTGAATGGTTATACCTTTTTGTGGGAATACTTACACTTTTTCTGAATGGTTACTCATTTTGTGAAAGAACTTTTTCCATAAAATTTACACTTTTTATGGGATATTACATTTTTTCTGAAAGCAAAACTTACACCTTTTATGAATCTATTTACACATTCTATGAAAAATATGTTTTCATAAAGTTTACATCTTTTAGTGGAAATAATTACACATTTTCTGAGAAGTTACTCCGTTTGTGAAACAATTTTTTTTAGAAAATTTACACATTTTATTAGAACTTACATCTTTTGTGACATAACTTACATCTTTTGTAAAAATATTTACACCTCTTATGGAAAATATTTTTGAATAAAGTTTACACCTTTTGTTAAAAACTTACACCTTTGCTGAAAGTTTACACCAGTGGGGGAAATACTTACACGTTTTTTGAAAAGTTACTTCTTTTGTGAAATTATTTTTTCATAAAATTTACACCTTTTATTGGAACTTACATCTTTTCTGAAAACCAAACTAACACCTTTTGTCACATAACTTACATATTTTGTGCAAATATTTACACGTTTTATGAAAAGTAACACCTTGTATGGAGAATATGTTTTGTGGGGATATATTTTCTGAGTACCAACTGTTGGAAATGGTTATTTTTTCCTCAAGTTTGGTCTATTTTTTAGGTGGGCCCCGAGTGTCAATTTACTCGGGTCAAAGTGGTAACGCGTTCTATGCCGCGTTGTGATTCACGTGGTATATTTGGTTGCTCAAAACCATTACCGAGTGAATGGGAAATTGAAGCCAAAGTGTGCTCCATGGAAATGGAGTTTTGGTGGAAATTCCTTAAGGTTGTAAATTGGCTTGTCCCACATTGATTTGGTGGGAGGTTTTGAAAGGGTTTATAAGGCTTAGGGTGAGATACTTGGGGTGTGCCCCAAGGGGTACCCAAGTGTTTTAGAGGGAGAGGTTATGGGCAAAATGGGCTAGACCCATTGGACCCAAAAATCACCACACACGCGCGCGCGCCGCCGTCCGTCCGGTCGGTCGGGCGCGGGTGTGTGCTTCTAATCTTTTTGGGCCAAAAATATTTGAATTTAATTTTATTTTTATTCCTTTTCAGGTAACTAGCTGAGGATTACAGGCGTCCTACAGGATTTAAAGAGTATTTCCAAACTACTTCTCCACAAATAAATTTAAAAATAAATTTATAAATCATTGTTTAATTCTGCACATAGCATGGGTTAATAACCAATTAAGCTAATTTATTGCTAATCGAGCTCCCAAATATATATGTGGGGATATATTTTCTGAATACCAACACGTGGCATGGTGACGCCGACGTGTCAGCCGAGGTGCCACGTGTCGTGGTAGTTAAGCCGAGATGATCTCGGAGTTGCTGAGGTTATTTCCGAAGATATCGGAATCCGAGATAAGCAGATAGGGGACAAGAGTCCAAGAATGAAGAGGAGCGGTGAAGACTCTGAAAGGTGGTGCCATAACGTGGTAGAGGACACTGGATGGGATCTCTTGAAGAGTCCAAGGTAAGTCCAGAATTGGAGTCCCTAGAAGTCAGGCTTCTAGTGGGACTAAGATTGAGTTAACTATAAAAAGAGAGGCACCCCCGTAGGTCTAAGGTACGCAATTTATGCTTTGAATAGTGAGTTTAGAACTTGATTATCTTTGAGAGATATATTGACTTGATCGTCGGAGTGCCCCCGGGTGGAAGAACCACCGCCGGAGCCTTCTCTTTTTGTTACAGGTTAGTTGAAGCCATCTATTCTGCCAGTGCTCTCTAGCTGATTACTAAACGGGCAGTGTGATCAGAAAATCACTCACACAATTTGGCGCCGTCTGTGAGAACTTAGAAGAATAGATGGCCAGTAACAGACAGAAGGAAAAGATTGGGGGACGACACTCCTGCTGGGAGTGGCAGACCTATCGACCTTGATATCAAAGGAAACAACCACAATGCAGAAACTCGTGACCAGGGCCACGGAGAGGAAGACGTCGGCCAGGAGGGTGACACTTCGAAGAAGACAGACCAAAGCAAGTACTATAACGAAGATAACCTCCAGGTATGGAGGGATAGGTGCCTGCGGAGGGATGAAGAAGTAAAAGAATTGGCAAACAAGTTGGCAGACCTGCAGTCGATCGTCAACTTCATGATGCAAAACAATGTCAAGCAGT